TATTGAATGAGTAAATTACGTTGACATAAGGTCAGGTATAAAGGTCAGACCAAGGGCAAAACCAACCTGGTTTATTACGCTAGGGCTTGCTGCATAGGATAGTTTGTGGTACTCATTTCGAATTTGTGGTCGGCAGGAACCGCATAAAATCTTCCATTGACTTCTTAGATGTAAGAAGAGGTCATTGACCTAAGATGATCTGGGTAGACACTTTGTTTTAGGAACATACTGCCTAGTGTAATCTTTGTCGCTTATTTGAAGGGAAAACTCAGGGCAGTCGTGTATGACTTTGGTCACCATGACGTTCAAAAGGTCAAACAAGGTCACTGACCTCAAATGGGATTATGACCTTTTGCTCAGAAATAGCTGCCTAGGTTCTGGGGACATTTTAGAGACCGACCTGTGATATGACCTTGTTTTACCTCATTTGACCCGAAGGTCATGACCTGGAAAGCTCAAACTTTGACCTAAGTGAGTTCACGTACAGGTCAAGACACCTGTAAATTTGGTATCTCTGGCTTTCTTAGTTCCAGAGATCTCAGGGGGGTCAAATTGCCGCCCCCCCCCCCACCCGAGCGAAGGGTATCTAGCCGACCACCCGGGCGCGCGTTAAATCAAAATAAATGCTTACGGAAGTCGCGTAACACGCACATAGAAACCTGATGATGTTGTAAGATGTTGTATTTGATAAATATTACTATTTGGTATGCCAAGAGTTTCACGCGCCAGCGGCCGCTTAAATAAGCTTTTTACAGTAAACTTTGGTGTCACCAAATGGTGATACAGGATTCTGATATTTTTGGATTTTTTCTTTCATAAATGACCACATAACCTTTGTAATGTTGCAAAAGCCTTAATGCGACTCGGTGTGCAATCTTTCAAATTTAAGCTGTGTAAAGGCCTGGAAAATCAAATCGCATCACAAGTACTTTTGGGAATCCCCAAGCCCCAAGCGCATCTAGATGCACATCATGCACGGTAATGGCCACCGCATTACTTCTGGTCCGACTTGACCAGGGGTAGCACTGCCGGGAACAGTGGGGCGCGATCGCAGCGCCTTCCATTAACCTTGAGGCTCAACAGTATACGCGTGTATTGCTTAGCACGCCATGAATGCCAAATACCTTCTACCTCCTGTCATCAACGCATGGGAAGGCGGCATAGTGGAGTTGGGGGAGGGTCACGTGTCCATCAAGGCGTTCACATTTCTTCTTTGTTGGCTGGCTGCCGACGTTCTACTTGCACGGGCGTACATGACAACGATGACGACATGCCCTATCGACTGGCAGCCATCACGACCGCTGCTTTCATTTTTTGTTGTATCTTGACACAATGGACGGATGGATGAAGCCGTGGCGCCCGCGGCAGGCTCCCACATCTCCTGCGCGTCTTCTTCTTCGAGACGGCAGAGCGTGACTGTCGGCTGCCGGTCGCTGACGTCTGGACAATAAGTGGTTCCGCGGCCAGATCGACGCTCCATGTTGCGCGTGGGTGGCCGTACCAATGTGGTTGGGCCTCGCAGTTCTCGGATGCGACGTTCATGGGTATCGCCTCACTTCAACCCAGGTTTACGATCTGGCATGGAGTACATTTATTGCTGCTGAGAATGACTTCACCACTGTTCAAATGATAGCATGACGCACACAACTGTTTCGCCTCCTCCTCTTTGTCCTTGCTCATTTTATCTTCTCGTCTCCTCTTCATCCATCCTTCTCCCATCTCCTCTCCTCTACCTTTCTCTCCTCTCCTCTCTCCTTTCCCCTGCTCTGCTCCGGTCTGCTATGCTCTCCTTCCCCTTTTCTTCTCTCCTCCCTCTATCCTCTCCTCTCCTCTCCTTTCCGCTCCTCTCCGTTCCCCTCCTCTTCTTCCTTCCTCTCCTTCTCCATCCGTGACTGACGGACATCGCCGTACAGCGAGCTGATCACCCCTCCGTCCGTGACTCTCCCTGCCTCCACGTCTACGGCTCTCTGATCTGTGGTCACCGGTTCCAGGTTCCGGGAGCACCTCCGCATGATGTCAGGTCGGCTTCAGCAGCGCCACAAGGACGTCAAGTTGCCGTACCGCGCCCTCGACCCCGACCGGGTGGCAAACTTCCCCAGGGTCGTCTGACGCCTTGTGATGCGTGCCAGCAGCTATGTGCCGCTCAGAATGAGTGTGCTGTTGCGTGATCCGCTGGATTTCTGACGATTTTATCAGAGTGTAGGATGCAGGAATAACTTGTGTGCTTTGTTCTATGTAGAACCTATCCAGTTGCACCCTTTGACCTATGGGGAAGAACCCAGCATAACGTCTGAACGTCGCGGAGATATCGCGATGCTTTCAGGCTCTGTTTCTCCGACCTATACGGTATACGCATCTTAATGGTTATAACTTGGTTCAACTGCCTTCATTGCATATTTAAACGGTGTCGATGTGCAGTCTGCAATTGTCTGCATGGCGATGAGATTGCCTTTTCGTCGCGACCCTCGTTGTGCCGCGAATAGATCGAGGCCCGGCCTTCATGCTGTGACTCGGGGGGACGCTGATGCGCCCGGTCGTGCTGGGCATGTCGAGCCGCCTCCCTGCTGCGGACTCCGGCGCCCTTCGGCACTCGTAGCCGCCAGCTGCGGGCATTTCATCATGCGAAGTGGCCGCCTGGGCGCCTGGATAGCTTTACTGCACTTGAATGCGCCCGCGGAGGCCCGCCAAGCCCCTCCTCGCACGAACCGTCGCAGGCGGCGGAGAGATCGCAGGTGGCGCTGGCTGCAGAGGGGTCTGAGGGGTCTGAACGGCGGCGGAGCGACCGCAGGTGGCACTGGCTGCAGAGGGTCTGAGGGGTCTGAACGCGGCGGAGCGACCGCAGGTGGCGCTAGCTGCAGAGGGTGTGAGGGGTCTGAACGCGGCGGAGGGATTGCAGGTGGCGCCGGCTGCAGAGAGTCTGAGGGGTCTGGACGGGCAGCGAATGACGGCGCTGGTATGCGACCAGACGTGATGGTGTCTGTGGATTGTGAGGCTAGATAATTGCGAGAAGGCTTGTGGGCAAAGTTTGACCCTCCAATTCCATTGACACGGGGAGCGTAGAACCGCACTGGGATAGACCCTGCTGGGACCTCAAAAGACCGTACCCCACTGAGACAAGGACAACAAAGCTTTTTACAGAGCACCCATTTTTTCAAAGCTATTATGCGGTGATCATCAATCTGCGACATTTCATTTGACAAAGTCATGTTCTATAGAATCCAATTTCGCAGTGTTAATGTGGTAGGCTCGGAATGCAGCAAAGCTATCAGACCATACTGAAAGCTATCGAACCGCTCTCAACCATTATTGGCTGTAGCTTAAACGGAGAGAGACACGCCATGAAAGCTACACTGGCATAAAACCTAATTCGTTATGACGAATGTTGGCCAGAAATGTTTGTGCTTTTACACAATTCAACGAAACACACTTCAGCTGCCAATGTTTCCAAATTAAGCGACTGAATCGGAGGCGAATAATGGGCCAAGTAAGGCCGAAAGCCAGCCAATTTCAAATACACGATTCCTAAGTTGGCGTGAAAACGCTGCATCAGCGAGCCTCTTTGTCTACTTCTAAAGCCTCATGGAGGAACGTCGTTTCCAAGAAACTGGTACGATCCACGTGTATGGGTTCCCAAAGACTTCCTTTGCCCAAGTTTTAACATCTGAATGACAATGGCAGCGATCGAACCAACAGTAAGCGCCTGTTATCACCACACCCGCTCCGCACTGCGAAATAACCGTTTGGCTTGCTGCATCTACTGTGCATTTATCTTTTGGTCACTGAGGGCCCAAGACGAGGCCAAAGACGTTTAGTCCTACTCTGCAAGCTTTGAAAGAGCGTGGCATTTATTCGTTCAAACAGACCAATTAATTATTTGTCAAAAAACGTAGCCGGCGGACGCCCGGAGCCCGCGGCCAGGGAAGGGAGCCCGGCTCGGCCGACGCCGGCGTACCGCCGACGTCGGCGACGGCCGCCGGCGCCGCGCGGCGGGGCAGTCGTCGTCCAGCGGCGGCGCCCGTCGAACCCAGTCGGCACCTCCGCGCGGCCCGGACGCGCCGCGCAGCTCCCTCGGCGGGCGGCAGCCAAGGGCGAGAACGCTGACGAGCTCTGAGACAAGCGCCGACAGCCGGGCTCGGCCAGCGCCAGCATCCCCGGACCAGGTGAGCGGTCGCTCCGCGGGGCGGGGCTGGCCGCCAGCGGTGCGACGAAGCGTCCGTCGCGGTGGCAAGACAGTCGGGCCGTTTTTGTCATGGAAGATACTGGATGGTAGCCGTGAGGAGAATCGACCACACACGCACACACACACACACACACACACACACACACACACACACACACACACACACACACACACACACACACACACACACACACACACACATGCGGCCCAGTTTCGAGCTGAGTACACTAAACATTCGCATGCACCGTCCAGGCTCGCCGTTCGGTGCCCAGACGCAGCGCAACAGCCAGCGTTGCCAGTATTACGCGTCCGTGACTACAGAAACATACTTGCTGTCAAGATGAATCTTACAGACCTCTGCGGCGTAAACATCTGACACCTTTGATCACGTCTGTGTAGATGATTGAGTCGATATCGACCCAATTCTCAGCATAGACATTCGACACCAAAGCTACCCAGCAAGGCGCTTGCGTTCAACACATCTCAGCAACAACAATTTTGCCGATTGGATTAACCTAACAGTCAAAATTTTGTTGGTAACGGGATGGGTAGACAAAGCATCGGGAACGTTGTCGGCACAGGTATCAAAACATCACATATGTCGATACATGTAGATATTGCATGCCGGGTCAGTGCTTTCCGAAATCTCAAGATGGTATATATACATATATATACAGAGACAAAAATGATGTATAGAATTGCTAATGTTTCTGTTTTCATGAAAAGGAAGCTGATTTGAATGTCATGTAAAGCATTGTTGAATTTTCAACATAACTTTACATGATTAATGCGTTGGAAACACTAGGCGTCAAACTCGCCCGTGCCTCACGGATTAGTAAAAACTGATCACGGACGGGAAGAACCTGATCACGAACGGGAAGAGACTAGCATCGTCTTGGGTGGAGAAAATGTCACACGTGAAGGCCGGTCCAAGCAGTAGTACGATTGGTCGGCTTGTTCTGTACATGCTTATTAAGTCAGCGAAACGCTCAGGAACGAATTTAAACCGTCCACCAACAAAATCACCGATGCTGCGAAGCCTTTTGCATCATCTGACTAATGTTTGCATGCGCACCTTACGCATGGTGCCATTGGCTGCCGTTCATGCGAATGCTGCCGCTGGGTCACACAGTCCGGGCAGGGTGGACCGATTCACTCATGCGGGCGTTGGCTGACGCTTTGCGATGTCACTGTTATGCATCGGAAATGACAGTAATAATAGGGCTGTAATTTAGTCGCTCAAAAAGGTCTGTATCGGCAGAGCTATCCATTATAATCTTCCTTTTTCTTATAAATATTATCTCAATATCATCATGCAAATATGAATATTATCAGTGTGATATCACATTATATCATGTCCTTTGTCAAGATCATACCATAACATTATATGGTGTAGCAATATTTAGCTTGCTTCCTACGAGCTGCGTCACTGATTGTAGAACGCGGTCGGCATATTGTCGGTACACTCCGCTGTTTGCCGCTTCATTATCTGCGTATGTCTCTGCATTACATGGCGTATTTGCCAACCGTTACATATATCAGCTGTACTTGCATGACTACGTCAGACTTGTCTCGGAGAAGTCCATACACAGTTGTGACCTTCACAAGTCACCTTGACTGCGTTTGTTTACAGCACGGTTTTCGGAACTTATTGTGCATGGATAGCACGAACAGGAGCCTCGTAATTGCCGCATAAGAAAGATCCAGCGAACCACAAAATGCGTTGACTTTCCGCGTATTCAATCCAGATTTCCAATGACCATTAACACCACAAGATCGTGAGCAGCAAGGAAACCCAGGCAGAAGTAGCAAACAACGGAATTGCTTAGGTTAAATGAATACGCATGGGAGACAGCTGTGCGGCCCGTGGCACCGTGTTTACCGACAGCCGTTGCCAATTGTAGACACCCAGCCACGCCCAGCCGAGCAGGTATTGGGTCGCACAAACATGTTAGGCGCCAAACCCAGCCCAGCAGGTATGGGACCGCACAAACCTGACGTTACGCGTTTTAATAGAGTGTAACCGAGACATAGCAGGGTGAAAGATCAGTGTCCTGAAATTGCAGACCTCGGGTGTTAAGCAACACACTATGTGGAGGAATTTTTCACTCCCTTTCCCCATATTTTGTATGATTTTTTTTCACTCCTACCTGGTATTGTTTAACCACACATGCCGAACCCATATTTCCCTCTCAGAGGTTTTAATGTCATCCAAAACCGAGCTCACTTGAAACCATCAAGCGTAAGCAAGGCTCCATAGAAGCTGGACACCTATGACTATATCCTGCCCCACCTACAGCTGAATTATCCCTATGTATGCACAGAGTAAGGGCACCAGGTACCTTCAAGCCCGAGACGCACAGCGACTTCAGCGGCTTGCATGCATCAAGTTTGGTTTCTTTACAAAATGCGCCACAAACTAAAGCTGTGTGCCAAATGCGAAGCTTTCATGCATTCCCATTTTTTTTTTTTGGGTCGCACCAGGCAAACACCACAGGACCAAAGCAAGACCCAGTACGAGCATCAGAAAAGCCTGGTAGATAATTTGACTCAACGTATTTTTTTAACCCGAAGAGAATTGACCACTTAATTGCAACACTCCCGAAATGTAGGAGTGAAAAATTCAAGAAATGCCGTCTAAATAGTAAAAGTTGAATATCACAATCTGAGTATTCATATTCATATTTTTAGTCAAATATCTTTATTAAAAAATCGACAAAAAGATAAACCTTCATATTCACTCCTTTACTTTTGTTTTTCTTGGTTTCGCACGAGCATGATACAAATTCACTTCTCCTTCTTTTCAGATTAGCTTTAAAGATATCATCTATGGCTTAAAATGTTGGCTAACTTTCCTGAAAAAATGTTCCGACTGCAAACTTGCACATATGTACTACATGAATTGGACTAAGTTGCCAGCCGCCCAAACATGTTTCATATACACCCAAGAGTGTACAAGTGACAGGGAGTGAAGGAGAAAACTTTGAGCACGAAAGTATTTTTACCTCCATTTTTGTCCTGTTAAACCCCCAGTTAGCCCTTTCTTTGGTTCATGGCGAGGCTCAATAATTAAAAATCTAAGCCATTCCAGTTTCACTACCTCATCGCGTTACATTATCCTTATGCGCATAGCTTTGGGACAGACCCGGTGCAGCCAATACCGAAGTGTTGGTAGCGAAATGCGGCCCTTAGAATCTGTTGACTAGTTCAAACCTCTTCTTACTTGTTTTGCATTTTAGTCTTGTAGGTTGTTGGGCATGATGAATATTTTTATGTTGTGGGCGGGTTGAATGATCCTCTCCTTTAGCAACCATTGCGAAA